TACTCACCCTCACGGGGCACCATTACCATCTCTATTCTTTGAATAAATGAGGAAGTGGTGTTGGTATTATACTAGAAGGGCCAAACAGAATGTCAATTAAACAACCTCTTTGGTTTAATTTCAAAACATCAAGCAACACAAGCAGAATATGAAGCCTTGTTGGCAAGTCTTCAGTCAGCTAATGCGATGAATGCTCAAAGAGTGATATGTTACATTGATTATAAGGTTCCAATAGAACAAATTAACGAAACATTCCAATTAAAAGAACCTCATTTGTTGAGTTATTTTCATATGTTCCAAAGAATAAAAGAAAATTCTGAAGAAGTACAAATAAAATACACTCCTCAAATTGGTAATGAAAAAGCATATCAACTAGCAAGATTGACTAGCAGTCAGAAGTCGGGACAATTGCATACATTTCTTCAACAAAAATTACAAGTTTCTAGTATAGTGAATGAAGAATGTTGTTAGGTGGAGCCTCTAAGAAAGGAGTGGATGGATGATATAGTAGAATATATGAACACAGGATTATTGTCTGAAGAATACTTAGAAGCAAACAAATTGAAAATGAAGTCAACTTGGTACGTGTTGATAGTTGGAGATCTGTATCGAAGGGGAGTTTTGACACCTTTACTTAAATGTTTAGCAACTGAACAACCTATTATGTATTAAGTGAAGTGCATGAAGGAATTTGTGGATTTCATTCAGGAGCAAGAATAACAACAATAAAAATTTTGAGGATTGGTTATTATTTTCCAACCCTCAAAATCGGTTGTGAAAAGTTTGTAAATAAACGTGAGCCATGCCAACAACATGATAATATGATAAGAGCACCAACGAAAGAGTTACATGGCATCACTTTCCTTTAGCCATTTGCAATTTGGGGAATGAACATCATCGGTCTATTTCTAATGGCCAAAAAGACAAGTAAAATTTCTCTTGATAGCCATAGACTTTTTCATAAAATGGACAGAAGAAGAGCCCTTAGCTACAATCTCGATTTGAAATGTACAAAAAATTGTTTTAAAAAATATTATTACTCATTTAGGAACACCTTACACAATTATCACTAATAATAGACTCCAATTCATTGATAAAAAGTTGAATGACTTCTTAACAAGCTTATGAATCAAACATAAATGACTTTGGTGGAGCATCAACAGTCAAGTGGGCATGTAAAGTCAGCAAACGAGATTATACTTTCAGAGTTGAAGAAGAGGTTAGGTTCGACTAAGGGTGTGTGAATTGAACAATTACCTGAAGTATTATGGGCATAAGAATGTATTCCTCGGTCTACCATAAAAGAAACACCCTTCAAACTTAGATATTAAAATAATGCTATGATTCAAGTGGAGGTTGGTGAACTTCATATAGAAGAATTCATTTTCAAGAAGGTCAAATTTTAGAAGAATTGAAATTCGAGTTTGATTTAATGGAATAAAATAAAGATAAAGCACTTATAAATGTTGAAGCATGCAAAATGACAATGACAAGAATATTCAATCTGGGAGTAAAATCCTGAGAGTTTCATGAAGACAATCTAGTATGGAAACCCACTGAAGAAGCAAGAAGAGATTACAGAGAAAGAAAGCTCTCAACTAATTGGGAGGAATTGTATAGGATTCAATAGAATTTGAAGAATGGGGCATATAAGCTTGAGGAGTTAAATGGAAAATTGATTTTGAGGACATGGAACACCATACATTTAAAAATATATTATAGTTAAAAACTCTTGTATTATAGTGTATTCTTTTCATTACTTAGCTTTTTATCCCTAAAAAAAGTGTGAAAGAGATTTTGCTAAGAAAATTTCAAACAAGACACCTATAATGAATCAATAATACGAGAAACTTTTTGATAAACAATGTTACGCTCGCAAATATTTTCAAAGGCTTTCCTTTCGAAGATCCTCTCAACGAAAGATGCGCTTATAAAAACAAACAAGATTTCCTCTCGAAGATCCCCTCGACTAAGAATGTACCTATAAAAACAAACAAAACCTTCCTCCCGAGAATCTCCTTGACTAAGGACGTGCCTATAAAACAAATAAGGCTTCCCTGCCAAGGACTCCCTTGAATAAAGATGTGCCTATAAAAATAATAAGGTTTTCCTATCAAGGACTCCATTGGCTAAGGATGTGCCAATAAAAATAAATATTTTTTCTCCCAAGGATCCCTTGACTAAGGAGATACCTATAAAAACAAATAAGGTTTTCCTATCGAGGATCCCTTCATCTAAGGATGTGCCTAAAAAAGAAAACAAGGTTTCCCAGTTGAATACATTGGAGAAATTTGGTATTATTCTATAAAAGAAAACACCTCTAGTTGTCATCCCTATTCCATGATTGTCCAACATAAATCTTTATAAATAGAAATAAGTACAACACTCATAAATTATTGAAAGGAATGCTTTTGTATTCAACACTCTACACTATATATTAATTATTTATATCCAACACATCTTTTCTCTTTCAATTACTTTAATAAAAGTATTTAATTGAGTTGTGTTTAATGCATTGAGATAACCAAATTAGTAGAAATTATGTTGTTTGCAAAATATGATTTGAAGCATGACTAAAAAAGTATTACATTTAGTTATGTACAGGATCCTTATATTAAAGTCTTATCTCAGATATTGAAATGTGTTATGATGTATACCAAATGTAATTTTGTTGTGAATAGACAAAGCTACAACAACATAATAATAGCTTGTGAGGTTATTTCTATGGATAGTAGACAATGTATGAAAGAGTAGATGATTATTAAGTGTAATTTAAAAAAGGCATTTGACAAACTGAAATGGCCTCACCATATATACACTTAAAGTGATTAAGTATCCTCATCATTTATCAATTTGGGCTCTCATTTTATAACAACCACCAATAGCCATGTGTGTCATCTATAATGAAAAGGTTTTAAAATAGTTAACTTCACAAGACACCTAACAAAGTCACTCTTTATTATCGTACCTTTTCATTATTTGTCTAGAAATATAGTCTTAAGTTATTGAGCCAAAGGTAGTAGACTAAGGGTAATAGAAACCTATTCAACTTTTCAAAAAAGATGCTTAACTTTTTCATCTTGTATTTATTGATAATATTGTATTGTTTATGGATGGTAACATACAAGTATAAATTATCAAAGCTTGTATTGATATGTTTTGTGCTAACTCGAGTCAATTAGTTTACAAAAAAAAAATATTCATCTTTATTTTTCTAAGAACATTGAATAAAGAGTAAAAACTCAAACTACTAACTTATTAAAATATGAAGGAATTGAAAATTTGGAAGAAAAAAAATACTTAACAACCTGCAATATTATAATAGGGTTAATAAAGAAAGAGTTATATCAAGATTATGATTATTAAAATTGACTTACTTGACCCAACTTGAAAGGCTAAGGGATGAGAAGTGGGACAACATAATTTATTTTTTTATGGGGTTACATTGTTATTGGTTGAGTCAAATTGACATTTTCTTAAATATATATATATACATTTCAAAAGGAAAAAAAAAAATAAAACATAGTGTTTGCACATAAAAAAGTTGGATTGACCTGTCATTGTTCCATATGTCAAGTTGGGTTTGAGTTTTTAAAAATGATTCCATCAAAAAATTAAGTTGGATATGAACAATAATAAGCTTGATCCAACATGACTTCATGATCACCGTTAAGTGACACATTTTTTTTTTCACTACACTCTCACAATTTTTTCTCATTTTATTTATTATTTTTATTTATTATATAATAGTAACAACTTACTATCTAATTTGATAAAAAAAAAACTATTTTTCATAAGAAGATGAAAAAATATCCATAAAACTTTATTAATTTTAAAAATCAACAAATAATTGTTTTCTCAAAATTAATCTCAACATAGTTTCACAATAATTTCAACAAACACAAATTCTTTGAAAAAAATCAAGCGAATTTAAATTTTCTTTGTGTTAAATATATCTTTTTTATATTAAAAAGAATTTACTTTATTGGTGTTGAGGATCTTTAATGTAGATTAATCATTATTTTTAATAAGAAATACTTTACTTCAATATTAATTAAAAAAACATGTTTTCTTATGTCAATCATATCGAGTATGGTGGCAGAGTGGCGCGGCATGATTTTTAACTTTTTATGTAGTCTTGACTTAAGGACGAGTAATGTCTCTTTCAACAGAAACAAACAAATGCAAAATGGAAAGATCGCTATTACGCTTTTTCCTCCCATTAGCGAAAGTTTCTCTTTAAACAGGCTTATTGACAATGCAGGACCGGTGTTTGATGAAGTGGATCACACATCCCAGGGCCAGCCCTGGCTTTTTCCAGTTCAAAATATTTAATGATCCCTAAGTCTACGTTCTAAAAGCCCATGATTTAAGCATAGGTACAATCATCCACACGTTGGACCCTTTTCACACCCTATGCTTCCCTTGCCCTTGGTGTTTTTTCACACATCATCCTTATGCTTCTCTTGCGTAATAATAAGGGAATTCATTTCTAAAAAGAGTATGTCAAGTATTATACTATTATATCCATTCACACCACAATAACTTCTCGTACTCTTTTTTATATGATTTTTTTAATGTAGATTATACTTAATAAATATTAATGATTTTGTCACATCATTTTACTCGTTAATGTAAAGTGATGATAAAGTGCAAATTTATATATTAAACTCTTCAGACATATACCTATATATATACACACAAATCAATTTGGGTTCGGTAAAACAGGATAATTTGTCGTGATAATAATCATTTACATCGTGAAAAGAATCCAAGATGAAGAAACACTGGAGCAGAACCTTAGAGTAAAGACAACGTAACCAATCTCGTTAGAAGAAAATTAGAAAATACGGAGCACTACAGAATTACTTTTCGATTTTTCTAGCCAAATTGAAAAGTTGAAAACCATATAGTCAAAGTGAGTTGGTCCACAGTGCCCACATCATTCATTAGACTTAAATATTGTACTATAGAAAATGTTTTCCAAATCGTCGCTGACTCTCATCTCCTCTGCGAGAGGTAATGTGAACCAACCTGTCTGTCAGCAACTCATAAAGTTAATTAATTAACTTTGTTCCCTCTTTGAAAATGCTTAACACCTCCTTCACTTCATTCTCTATGCAGAAGCACTATTACAAACTACCACATTCAATGTCTTAGACAAAGTTTAGAAACAAAGTGACCATTGACCATTTGTCCTACAACCCAAAGCCAAAGTTAGAATTTTTGAAACAAAAGCTCACATGGGGGCCTCTCTTTCGTCTTAGTTTTGGAGAATTTTCACTCCAAATTTGGAAATGAATTTCCTTAATCTTTTCCTTCCTCTGTGTCTATTGGTTTTGGTTGCATTTTCCATTCCACAGATGGTTCATGGAAATGCAGAGCTAAGAGCTCTCATGGACTTGAAATCCTCTCTGGACCCAGAAGACAAGTTCCTTGGCTCATGGACCCGTGATGGTGATCCATGCAGTGGTTCATTCTTGGGGGTTGAGTGCAACGAGCACAACAAAGTGGCTAATATATCATTGCCAGGAAGGGGTCTTTCTGGTCGTGTCTCTCCAGCTGTGGCTGAACTCAAATGTTTGTCAGGTTTATTCTTGCATTACAACAATCTCTCTGGAGACATACCCAGAGAGATTGCAAATCTTAAAGAATTGTTGGATCTCTATCTCAATTTTAATAATCTATCTGGAACCATTCCTCCTGGTATTGGGAACATGACTAGCCTCCAAGGTTAGCATATAGTTTCGTGCTAGTTTATTCTCAATTGTCTACACTGATTTTGTTTTTACCTAGTAAGCTGTTTTGCGTTTAAATTTATGTCGGTGGAGAATATATCTTAATTCTAGTTGTATAACTTGGATACAATCACGACTGAAATTGACTTTAAAAAAACAGGGGGTGGAAACTTCATTACTTAATCTTAAATTCCATGAATTGCATCTTGTTGAAGACTTTTAAAGGGGGAAAATGAATTGAATTGATTTAAATTATGTAAATAATTTGCCAAACACTGTTAGTTAAGTTCTGTTTGTTAATCCATTTCCTTTGTTCTTTATACTTTTAGTGCTGCAGTTAGGCTATAACCAGTTAGAGGGGAACATACCTGAGCAACTGGGTTTGTTGAAGCAGCTTAATGCTGTTGCTTTGCAGCACAACAAATTAACTGGTCAAATTCCTCTCAGCTTGGGTAACTTGGAGAAGCTAAGGAGGCTAAATTTGAGCTACAACAAATTCAATGGCATCATCCCTGCAACACTAGCTGATATTGCCAACTTGGAAGTTCTAGATGTGCGAAACAATTCTCTTTTGGGGACTGTTCCTTCTGGTATGGCTCTATCCTTTTTTCATTGCAACAAAATTCACCTGCTTTTGTACTTTTTGGACGTATTCTAATTAATGCTTTTGAAATGAAAATGAAGCATTGAAGAGATTAAAAGAAGGGTTCCAAGGTGCAAACAACCGAGATCTTTGTGGAGAGGGGTTTTCTAATTTGAAAGCTTGTAACAAAGATAAAACATTTGACGTTAGTCAGATTAGTGCCCCAAATATATCCATAAACAGAAATCATCCAATAACTTTCCCGAAGCCTGAAAATACGTTGCATTGTAACCAGACCCTTTGCTCAAAATCAAGAGGGTTTCTTCATGTTATCATTGCAGCAAGTGTTACAACCACTACTATCACATTGATTGGTTTTGGAACTTTCATATTTGTCATATATCGCCGTCAAAGGCAGAGGGTTAGGAACACATCAGATTATTCTGAAGGCCAACTTAGTCCTTACCAATACCAGCCTAAAGAGTTCTACAGAAGTTCGTCTCCACTTGTTAATCTTGAGTATTTGTATAATGATTGGGATTCACTTGATGGTCAAAATGCCAGTGGATTATCCCATGAATATTTGAACCGTTTTAGATTTAATATTGATGAGATTGAATCAGCAACACAGCACCTTTCTGAGTCCAGCTTATTGGGTAAGAGCAAATTCTCCGCAGTTTATAAAGGAGTTCTCAGAGATGGTTCTCTTGTGGCTATTAGAAGCATTAGTGTGACTTACTGCAAAACCGAGGAAGTTGAATTTCTGAAGGGCTTGACCCTATTAACCTCACTGAGACATGAAAACATTGTTAAGATGAAAGGTTTCTGTTTCTCAAGAAGTAGAGGTGAGTGGTTTTTTGTCTATGACTTTGCCACCAAAGGTAATCTGTCACAATATCTGGACAAAGAAGATGGAAGTGACCATGTACTTGAATGGTCCAAGAGGGTTTCTATCATCAGGGGTATTGCAAAAGGTTAGTTTTTCTTACCCCCAATTTTGCCATAAATTATTTGGTGCTTCTAAACTGCATGATCTTTAACTAGTATCTATACATAACATGTAATTACTAATCAAGAGTTATTAATTTTTTTTTAAATTAAAAAACTTAAATGCATGTTACATAGTGATTGACTAAGACAATGAATACTTTATCATCTTAAATTATCTAATAATTTCTCCAGTTTTGCATGGAATGTTGGATAATATCTTTTTTTATAAATGTACAATGACAGTGATAGATGAGAACATAGAACTTAGTGCAAACTATTCAAATTCCTCACCATAAGCCAATTCCTTTATGACCAGGTATTTGTTATCTGCACAACAATGAAGCAAGCAAGCCTACAATAGTACACCAAAATATTTCAGTTGAAAAGGTTATTCTTGACCATGAATTTAACCCCTTGATCATGGATGCTGGCCTCCCCAAGCTTCTTGCGAATGATGTTGTTTTCTCAGCTCTTAAAGCGAGTGCTGCCATGGGATACCTGGCTCCTGAATATATCACTACTGGACGCTTCACAGAGAAGAGTGACATATATGCATTTGGGGTTATTGTTCTTCAACTTCTATCTGGAAAGACATTGATAGGGGGTTCAATCCGGGTGGCAGTTGAATCTTTCAGATTTGAAGATTTTGTTGACTCAAATCTGAAGGGAGATTATTCAAAATCCGAAGCTGCAATTCTTTCAAAGCTTGCAATTCTGTGCACCCATGAAGTGCCAGAGCAAAGGCCAACCATGGTGGAGGTGATTCAGGAGTTGACCATGTTTCCTGCTCATTCTTCATGATCTACCACTTTCTATGTGAATAATGAGACTTTTGAACATTTCCTAACATCTCGGCTCATCCTTGTCTTGCTCTTTGCGTAGTTGTAACATGTAACTTATCCATTGACAAATAATTGTAAATCTAAATCTAAGTGAAATCCTGTTTTGTTTATTCTATTTCTACACGATTAATAGCGTCGAAGGATGTCCATTACGCATTTACTATAAATCGTTAGATCGAAGGGCCTTCAAAGGTACCTACTTAACTTTAGATGATGAAATAAATTGTTAATAATCATATCATAACTCATGATTTATTTTTTAACACTGAAGGATAATCTTTTTATCAATTGGTCTTAAAATAAATTTTGTTACAAATAAACTACTTGCGACACCATGGCACTGCAGAGACAATAACTAACGATATTTTTACTTTAGAAATGTTAATACAATTTCTTAAAAATGATAACAACACATTATCTCATATTCTTTTGAACATATATTTTTTTAATTAGTTAAAATTTATTAAAAATTACAAAATTTAGTATCTCTCACTCTCTAATTAATGATCCTCAATCATGTTTTTATCGTTTCTAATAAATTTTAACTATTTTGTGATTTTTAATAAATTTTAATTAATGAAAAAATGTGACACGATATTACAATTAAGATGAATTTTAAATAATAAAAAATAATGTATTGAAAATAAAATATGAATAAATAATATATGCACAGATATTTTTATATTATTGTTTAATTACATATTTCTATATAATAAAATTTTTATTTTTTAAAAATTAATGTAATTAAAATAAAAATTACATTAAAAATAATTTTGATAATGTAAAAACTTACACTTATTATGCATGTTTATTAAGCTAAAAATATTAGGGGTGTATTCCCATCCAGACCAAAAAGAGTAGCCCAGTCGCTGGCAGGTTGAGATCAGCGGGCTTAGGAGCGCTTCTGGGTTGAGATTAGATCAGCCCAATAACATTGATTATTTGGTATAGTTTCCCTCATTTTAACATGAAATGTTTTTCCGGACAAAAAATAAGAGTTAATCACTCATATATTGTCAGTGTAAAATTTTTTACACTGACAACCAATCATATCTTTTAATATATTTTATTTTATTCTTATTTAATTAAATAAATAAATGACATGATACTATTAAAAAATATTATTGGTTGCCAGTATAAAAAATTTTACACCAACAATGTATGAGTTATTAACTCAAAAACTAAACTGAAAGCCAACTATTCACCCCGCTAACACATGATTCATGAAGCATTTCGGTTAAGTCAAACCCTAAAATTGATATTAAATGAGGTGATTTAAAATTGTCATTAATTTAGTAGGCTGTTAATTTTTTTACAGGAAATTACTCATATCATATAATTTAAAATAAAAAGGGACAATGGAATCAAATAAAAATCGTATAGACAAGCATAACATCTAGACTCCTTTATTAAACAACGGGTGACTTAGTTTGTTTGTCGGAGAGCAAACCAAAAATTTCCACTCATTATTCAAATACTTCGTTGCATGCATGCATGTAGTCAACAATTTTTGGATTAAACTTAAATATTTTTTTATCCATTAAAATTACAATAATAATATCAGAATTGGAAGGTAAGATTTTGTGCATTAAACCCTACCAATCTTAGTGGTATAACTTTAAATAATTTTATGCAACATTTTTTTTATTTCCTTCTAAACTTTTATATGGAAATAAAACAAAAAGGTAACAACCAATTTATGTCACCTATGCATAAAAAATATATTATAAAATATTTATAATTCATTTAAAATAATTTTAAAAGTATATTTGTCAAGTATACTCAATACTAAACCGCGTTGAACCTATTATACATTAGTTTGTTGGGAGAAATAGTCTTAAAATAATTCATTTGAAAGACAAAGTGGAAAAAGGGTAATACATACGCAAAAATATAAAATTTATTAATTTAAGAGTATAAAAATTATCTGAGAAGAAGAACTTCTAAGCATAAATAAAAATAATGTACCATGGGAAAAGCAAATTACAAAAGTATGCATGGTATATTTTGTTTCTCATGAGAATATATTTTTTTAATAATTAATTTGAGCGTTCTTCCTAAAAGAGAATGTAATTTATCATATATATTTTTGTACGATTATACATATTGAAATCTACAATTTTGGACTAATAATTCATATATGCATGTTTGGTTTGCTTGAAGCAAAAATTTTTTCACGTTTCTTTTTTTGCTTCCACCTAAAATTGATATCTAACATGGAGACAGAATGGACAATCATGTTTTAAGAGCTAATCCAAACATGCACTTGATGCTGATTCAGAGCAAAAGCGCGTAACCTTCCCGTGTTTGGTCAACCTTTTCAAATTTTCCTTTTACGACTTTTCTACACCTGTCAACACTCAAGATTGCCTCTTAATTAAGTCTTAACTAACTCGACTCTTACCTTATTAGAAAAATAGTTTAACTAACTTCAGTCTTCTCCCTTTGAATTAATTAGTTGATTGTTGTAATGGATTTCGTTAGTGATCCAATGAATGGTTAAGTATTTAAATCCAGATATATTTGAATAAATTTCTCCCTAAATATTTATATTTATAGAAAAAGAAAATGGAATGAAATAATTTAAAAAATAATAATTTAAGTCGATAGATAGAAATTCTATGTTAATTTTTTTATAAACATAATTTTAACTTAATAAAAAATAAGTTAATTTAACCTCTATAAAAATTTATTTATTTTTCTTGATATGAATATTTATGGATAAATTTATCCAACCAAAATCTAACACATGTAAATGATGAAATAGAATATATTAATTAAAGTTTTCACTTAAAAATACATGCTTAATGACAAATCTAAGGACAAAAGCCTTGCCTCCACTGGCCTTTGACTCTTTATGAAATATATTATGATAAAATGTTTTTATTACGATAAGAATATGTTTGAAGAAACTATAAAAATTTAATTATTCTAATAACAATTAAATAAATAATTGATTTTTTTATAATTAAAATGAAATTTTGTTTATACAAGTTTGCTAAAAAATGATTTTAAGATGTTTAATTTTATTTGAATGCAAGAAAATGATCAGTTTTATGTGAAAAATAAAAATAAAAAATTTAAAAGAGAAAAAATATTAAAAAATAATCATTTAAGTTTCAAGTTTTTAAGTTCATGAAAACAAGTCATTTTCAAAAGAAAAAATTGTTTACAAACTTCAGCAGGTTTTCCAAACATACAATTTATTTTACAAATAGTTTTTTTCCTAAAAAAAGATAGCTAAAAGTAGGTATCATAAGTTGTCCGAAACCTACTCTAAATATATGATTATATTGAGAGATTAATTTAAAGTTGTGTTTGATAAAATTAACTTATAAGAGTGGAAAATTTATAAATTATAAATTTTCATACAAAACAAATTTATTATAATTAAATTAACTTATAAACTAATTAAATGAGTTTATAAATTATTGAAATGACTAGTTAAACACACTTATATTTTATATTGTTGATACATTTTATAAATGAGAAACAGAATTTGACCTATAATAAAGGTCATCACCATAAATAAAAGAGAGGTCATATAAAAAGAAAGTTTGTTAATTCTCATAGAAAAAAATTTGTGAGAAAAGCTTATTAAATTTCCATAAAAAACATATAAAGTTTCTCAAATTTTGCTTAAAAAAATCTAATGCTGTAATAATGAACATTCATTGAAATGTCATGAACATGGGCATAGAAGGTATGTCGTATAGGGGTCGACTAGGCTAAAGTCTTGAGTCCATAACTGACCTGACCGAATAGGAAGCAGTTGCTTTAATTTACTACGATTATAAATGCGTAGGGCTACAATACATTCCCCGGTCACACAAAACACTTCCACGGCTGCTCTCTAGAATGTAATCATGCCTATACGTTTCTTCTAGATTATACTTAAATCAATCCACTGGCGGCCGACTAGGTCGAATACGAAACCCGCGGTCGACCAGGCCGAACACAGATACCCGAGGAGGGTCGCCGAATACCCGAGACCACCAACCAGTAGCAATCGGACCAGAACGTGTCGGTATGCTCGGCCAAACTCCATGTTTTCACCAGGATGATTACGGAGAGATTAATTAACATAATGCATAGGATTAGCCCCCTAATTTTTCGGGGCTCAGTCCCTAATCGAGGCCCAATAACAACCACTATATATAGGGCCCCAACGAGGTACGTATTTGATTTTTCAACTACCGCATTTATTACGCCAAGCACTGACTTGAGCGTCGGAGTGTCTTTGTAGGCACCCCCCACCTTGCTTCGGACTACCCAGATAAAGACGAGAAGATCGAGACCCGAGACGACCCATCACAATTAGGATAATTGGAGTGTGTATCCTAACACAAGAACATTTGGCGCCCACCGTGGGGCCGAAGAGACGTTTCAGCCCCTTTTAACTCTACCAACTGAGACCGAGACATGGTAGTTATGCGCAAAGGACAATCAACAACGACCCAACCGATTCCTAACATCAACGTTAACCCCGAAGACAATCCCGTCATGACCAACCAAGAGCGCTACCCGTACGGGATGCCTCAGACCCAACCGGAACCTGTATACAACAAGTCCAGCCAAGCACCAATCAAACTCAACCGAACTTCCAAGATGACTTGCGAGCACTTCGCGAGGAAATGGCAGCCATCCAAAGGCAAAGAGAGGCCGACGCCCAAGAGCTGGCCGAGCTACGTTGGCAAAATGTTGAGCTCCGGAACCTGAACCAAACATACGTGCCGTCCACTCCCACACTCGCGGAAGAGTCGGCCTATCACGCCCCAACAGACCAGGTCACCCGAACTCCGGTCACATCTTGAATAGCCAACAAGGCCGACACCACCGTTCACTCCCTAAGGCATCATTTTTCCAGAAGAATAATGGAGGCAACCCTGCTGGACCATTGGAAGAGCATGCCGATCAAGAAGTATGACGGATCGTCCGACCCCGAGGAGCACTTGAATGTTTTCTTGACTAAAGCAACTCTCTCCACTCAAGACGACTCGACTTTGTGCCGAATATTCCCCACGTCTCTGAAAGGAAGGGTCTTGGGTTGGTTCACAAGGCTACCAAGCTCTTCCATCGACTCATTCAACGAATTGTCGTCCCAATTCTCTCTCCAGTTCGCGACG